CAGATGAAGTTTTGGGCATCGTTCCTGGGTTCTGAAGTATTATTCCCCACGCAGAACTCACGTAGGCTAGATTAGGTCTATCTAACGTGGATCTGGGATTGTCCATTGAAGTCCTATCCAGTGTTTCTACATCGTTGAGCCGATGGGAAGTTGAAAACTTAGAGCCTTTTTATTTAAATAGACTGCAAGGAAGGTCTCCCGTTGACAACATGGTTATGCATGCGGTTCATCGTTTCCAGTACATAGTTTGATTCATATGAAAAAGCCTAAATATTCGAAGGAAAGAAAGATGTCGTTAGTCACCAGGGGCACCAGCACCCTCGCCTCCTCTCTGAATACCCCTCGCATCGGTGTCTTAGTCAAGTGAAAAATTGTCTAACTGAAGTGAAAAACACTGTATAAACCTAGCTGCCATGCTCATCTGATCAAAGCTCGAAGTAATCCGAAATACTTCTCTGAGTTTAAACGTTCTTGCAAGCGAAAACGGAAAACCTCGAGACTATGCGCCGTTGTAGAAGAGTAGAAGTACACAGACCACTCTCATCTTGTCATCAATGGTATGGCTCGTCTCTGAACCGGTGAAAACAATCCAGCCCCATTAGATCTCCCGTGACAGGAGGCTTCAAAAACTGATCGTGATACTCAAAATTAATATCGTACCATCGTGTTATCTTCACAACACGATGACAATAATAGCAATCTGGATGGTTCGAATAAAAATACATCGATCTCATAACAAGGCATTCCTAAGTGAACAGAAGAGATCCAAATGTGTTCGATGTGATGATATGGCCTCCTGTAAACATGAGCTATTTTTTCACTATCTACCCTGGAAGAAGCTTCGCACGCTATCAACTTTTGCTCATCAAATTGCTTTGATTTAAAACTTTCCAAACTCAATCCAAATTCTGAATTTCACTTTGATCATCCGCGTCCCTGTGCATAATCACGAGTATTGGTTGTTTCACTTCAAAGATTACTTCAAGTTCTTTCAGCTGCAAAAATCATTTTGTCCTCAACCATGAGAAGGCATCAACGCTTTTTTTTTGTTCATCCCTGAATTCAGATGAAGCCTTCCGGGTATTGAAAACTACGAAGGATAAAAAATTATTGATTCCTCTCCTACATATTATGAGGTAAATACAAATCACTTCTCGGATAGGATATGGCACAGTCTGCTTTTTAATGGCTTTAGTCTTCGCAACCCATCTGCACGCCCTGAAATTTCGTTAACATTTTTCATTCATTTGGGGGGATACGACACCGCACGATTCTAACTTTATTGTTCCGAAAGATTTCCCACATCTCATCACCTTTCGCTTCCATAACTTCGGTTTTTCTTTCACTCTTCCGCGCGGGGAAATAGCTTTTCGAGGCATTCCGAAGTATCTCGATCTTATTTTGAAGGAATGGCCGAGGCCGTTTTGAAGGCCGACGATGCACAGATCGTGCGTACTCCCGTATTCAGATATTTTATCCTGGTTCTTAAAGTAACATTTTCCTGTATCGCCCCGAGGGGGAGGGGGGGGGGGGGGGGGGGGGGGGGGGG